TGAGGGGAGAAGCTAGGCAGTAAGCCGAAACCGAGTGTAATATAGATAACCTTAAAAAAAAGATAGTTTAGGCTGGGTATGGTGGCACATACCTTTAATCCCAGGCTTCAGGAGGCAGAGGCAGGTGGATCTCCCTAAATCTGAGATCAGCCTGATCTACATAGTGAGTTCCAGGACAGCCAGAGCTATGTAGAGAGGCCCCATCTCAAGAAACAAAAATAAATAAGTAAAAATAAAAATGTTTTATTAGCATATATTAGTTATATATAATGGACTTCATTGTGACATTTATATACATTCATAATGTTATAATGTATTTTAATCATATTCATCTCTTGTCCCCCTTCCAGTGATATCCTTTCCTTTCTCAACTAATCCCCTTTCTATTTTCATGCCGTGTTGGTGTGTGTGTGTGTGTGTGTGTGTGTGTGTGTGTGTGTGTGTGTGTCCATGTGTGTCCCTATGTATTCCACTAGGGTTGGTTACAGGAGCATGGACACCTTACCACTGAAGAAAATGTCTCTCCCTCCCCCATGGACCATTAACTATAAATTCTCACAGGGAGATGGAGCCTCATGAGCCCCTCCACGATCCTCAATTGACAGACCCAGTCTTGTGCAGATAATCACAGCTGCTGACTTGCATTCTTTGCTCCCCTTCTGCTATTTCCCGAGCCTTGGAGGATGTGATACAGATGACCCACTTAGGGCTGGGCATTCAACAGTCCTATTCTCATCACTGACCCATTATAAGTCTCTGTAGTTACTGCTGCCCACTACAAAAAGAAGCTTCTCGGGACCTTAACCAACAGCAGTACTAATCCAGGGACATGCATATAGCTATTTAGAAGGCAATTTGCTGGGCACATCATGTCAATTTAGTAAAACAACAGACAGACATAGGTTTCCCGTTAGGGCCTATGACTTTCCAGCTATGAATTTTTGGCTAGGTTTACAATACCAGATATGAATTCCCCCAAGTGCAGTGGACCTCAAATTCAATCAGGAAGTGAGTGGTTACCCCTATACCAAGTTTGCCACTATTTCACCAATCTTGCCTGGCAGGTCAACAGTGCCACATGCGGGGCTCACAACTAAGGGAGACTGTGGATGATAATTCTCTTCCAGCCGCCCACACAGAACTGTTTGGTACTAGCAAGGGAGGAAGCTTTGTTCCTCTATGTCCTCCAAGCCAGAGTGCATGTTGTCTTCAGCAATGGAGTTTTAGAGACCGTCAACAGAAGCAGCAATGATTGATTTAGGACTAGTGGATGAGCTCAGGGAGTTAGGGATGTTGCCCAAGTTTCTGTCTTGTGCCATCAGTAGAGGTTGCTGAGCAGGGACTACTGTAGTAGTAGGGAAGTTGGAAGAAGGAAAGGCTATCCATGGGAAGCACAGAGGGTGGGCAAGGATGGAGAGCAAAGCTGAAGCCATCAGGAAGCTCTGTGCCCCTTGAAGGTACACGGATAATCACTAGGTCATTGGCTTAGGGCTCAGAAGGGTCTAGGTGAAAATAAAGTGTGAGCACTGTTAGCGTGGAGATGGGCACTGAAACCCTGAGTGTGGGTAATGCTGGTGGGGGCGGGCTCAGTTTCAAAGCCCTGGGGCCACATAAAATGCAGAGGGAGAGGAACACAAACATAGAGCAGTTGGAGTAGTGGGAGGAAACTGGAGAGTGGAAGGTCCAGTTAAGGTGAGTTTTCTAGGAAGTGGCCATTGAGGTCCCTGAGACCTCAGTAAGGTCTCTTTTAGAGAAGTCAGAGCAGATAGCCCACCCCTACACCCCATAGTTCGAACATCAGTTCTTTCTTTTTATAATGTGATTCTATTCAAGTCAGTATGAATACAGAGAAGGAGATGTGAAGCAGAGAAAGGTCGAAGTGTGGCGTGTCTTGTAAATAATTGACAAAGTCCTGATGATATTGGAGCCTCAGTACATTCAGAGGAATCAATCCAGCTACAGGAGGTACCTAGAATAAGGCATCACATGGGGGCCAAGGACTCAATGGGACCTCTAAATGAGCTTCAGAAGGTGTCCCCTGCTCCCCTGATCCCACCTTAAGCGTATTGACTGGATTTACAAATCAGCAACCTTTTCAGCATGTGGTGTGGGGAGACAGCCATAGCTTTCACAGGGGCTTCTTCTTCTTCTTCTTCTTCTTCTTTTTTTTTTTTTTTTTTTTTTGGTTTTTTCGAGACAGGGTTTCTCTGTGTAGCTTTGTGCCTTTCCTGGAACTCACTTGGTAGCCCAGGCTGGCCTCGAACTCACAGAGATCCGCCTGGCTCTGCCTCCCGAGTGCTGGGATTAAAGGCGTGCGCCACCACCGCCCGGCCAGGGGCTTCTTAGAAGGCTCTACTTCCAAGGTAGGTTGAGACCCTTCTGAGAACAAAGGTACAATCGTGGGACACAGTCTCTTCAATCTTTTTCTCAACTTACTTTCCAACCTCTCCTTTTCAAGATGAGACCCTAGTCAGTCCCCAGACACTACACCACAGCAATCTATGGCCAGGGATAAGTTAGAGTCACTGCCAAGGGCCATCTGCCAGAGCAGGTAACTGTGGGCAGTGGGCAGGGGGGGTTGGGGGAGGAAGGAGTGGAACCGAGAACTACACATTCCAGATGAAATGAACCTAGAGGAAGTGTGTAGAAAAACACTTCAAAGTTGCTTATAATTTTCTGATTGACACGCTTTCAGAAGAGACCATTCAATGGGAAGTGTAGTTTTGTAAGTGTAAAACAGAGATCAGAATCAGAATGCACGCCTCCAGGTGTCCGGGTGTGCTGCCTAGGCTGGTCACGTGACTGGTTATCTCGGCTCGCTAGTAATAAATCAGGTACAGCCCTGCGGTCTGTTTCTTTGACGAGAAAGCATCCTTTTCAAGACTGACTTGGTAGTTGGACTTGGAAAGGAATGCTGACTTCTTGTGGGAATGGAGAAGATGTTAGACTGTAAGCACAATGCAGCTTCCAGCTGGAGGCGGGTCCTATTCCCTCGAGGATTGGCAGTTTGGGGCATGTCGAGAGACAGCACTTAGCCAAGCATGGCTGATCATGCCTGTTACCCTTGGGGAGGCTGAGGCAGGAGGACTGCTACAAGTATGAAGCAAGATTGAGGTAGAGGGGGCTGGAGAGATGGCTCAGAGGTTAAGAGCACTGGCTGCTCTTCCAGAGGTCCTGAGTTCAGGTCCCAGCAACCACATGGTGGCTCACAACCATCTATAATCTGGCGCCCTCTTCTGGCCTGCAGATATGCATGCAGGCAGGATACTGTATGCATAATAAATAAATCTTAAAAAAAAAAAAAAGATTGAGGTAGAGTAAGAACTTATCTCAACAAACAAACACCCCCCCCCAAAAAAAAAAATAGAGAAAAAGAAAAAGCAACAAGAGCTGGCACTTGGCTTGGGTTGAAATCTGGTCCCCTCACTGTGAGCATCTTCATGGATGACCCAGAACAGCGGTACCCAGGGAAGGCTTTAGGCACAAGGCTCAAAGTCTCATTAGCAGGGTTCTCCCTAACCCAAATCACCTTAGAACTGATGGAATGTTCCCAGGCCCTTCCACCAGCCCCTTGTGAGCGGTAAGGCTCTGTTGCTCTTTTCTTCCGCGAGTGTGTGTGTGTGTGTGTGTAAACCGAGGAATTTCAGTTTGGAGGCAGAGAAAGGGGCTAAGAGCGTGTCTGTGGGTGCAAACCCCCCAAAGTTTGGGGAGCGTATAGACCTGTGGCAGATCCTGCAGAAGAGCACAGGCCTGGACTGCCTCATTGGCCCAGAACAGGCTCGGTCCTCTGCACTTTTGCTGTTTCCTTGCAGGCCGGGTGAAGGGCTCCTGTGGCAAAGCTGGCAGGCTCGCAGGCAGATGTGAAGGACGGCCCTGCAGACAATGTTAAAGGACTGGCATCCTACCTTCAACCTGACCTTGCCTGTGGGATCTCCTGTACCCCTGGCCGCAGCCTCGGTGCTGACAGCTCTCAAGTCTCTCCCAGCCAGGGCCCCCCTGCTCTGCTTCAGACAAGCGTGTCTCTGCCTTCCAACAACCCCTGTGTTGTAATCCCTCAGACATAGCACCTTTTCCAAATGTCCCCATCTTGGAGGCCCAGGAGCTGGACAGTGGCTAGCGTACTTTGGCACAAACATGAGGAGTGAGGACCTGAATTTGATCATCAGCACCCACATTAAAGCCCAGTGTTGAGGCTGAGCAAGATGGCTCCATGGGTAAAGGACCTGCCACCAAGCCTAATGGTCTTAGTTTGATCCCCATGACCCGACAACGGAAGGAGGGCGCAGGCTCCCATAAGTTGTTCCCTGGCCTCTAAATGTGTGCATGTCCACCCACACATATACACAACTAAGATAAACAAAATGCAATTACATTTTAAAAATTATATGCCTGTAATTCCAGAGCTGGGGAGGTAGGAACAGGAGGGTCCCTGGGTTTTCTGGCCAGCCAGCTTAGCCAAATTGGCCAGCTTAGGATTCAGAGAGAAACTACGTCTTGAAAGTTAAGGCAGAAAGCAACTGAGGAAGGGAGACACAGGGTGATGACCTCTGGCTACCACACATACATGCCCATCCACACAAAAATAAAAAAAGTGTCCTGTTGTGTTTTAAAGGCAAAAAATCACACTGGCCTCTTCAATATAAATGCCTAGGACCAGGGAAACCGTTTTCCTCCTTCTCCCTTTCTTTTTCTCTTTCAGACAGGGTCTCACGTAGCTCCCGACGGACTGGAACTTGCTGTGTAGCTGAGGATGACCTTGAACTTATCCTCCTGCCTCCATACCTCTAGTGCTGGATTACAAGTACGCACCATCACACCTGCTTTAAAACACTGTTTCCAAAGCCACACAGAAAAGCTCAGATGGTTGCCTTGACGTTTTGGAGATGACCTGAGAACAGTGTGAAAGGTCAGGGACAATGCTGACGTTCCTTCCAGGAGAAAATGTGTCCCTCTTAGCTTCCATTGTTTCTCATACCATTAGCCACATTGAACTTAAATGATTACGTACGTCATTGCTTGTTTATTATCTGTCTTTCCTGGGGAGAGCTTAAGGACAGAGATTATGTTCCTTTCACTTCTCTATCTTTTTTTTCCCTCTCTTTTGAGACAGACTGTCATGTAGCTCAGGCTAGCCTGGAACTCAATATGTAGCTGAGGATGCCCTTGAATATTTGATCCTTCTGCTTCTGCCTCTTGAGTGCTGGTATTATAGGCATGTGTGCCATATATCGTTTATGTGGTGCTGGAAACCAAACCAAGGGCTTCAAGCACACGAGGCAAGCACCTTACCAACCGAGCCACAGCTCCAGCCAGCCTCACTTCTGCATCTTTAGTGTCTACATAGTAGCTGACGTTTCACTGTCCATGTTTATTGGGCGAATACATGAATATGCTTGTTCATCACCCAAAATTCACGAGCTGCTGAGACCCTCAGCGCCTTCCTGTCTTCCTAGACCCATGAAGCTCTGTGCTTCCTTCCCATGAACAACCACCCTGGTGCCCCTCTCCCATCCTTAGCCCTTCAGATGTTCTCTTCCCCTGGCCTGCTTCAAGGATTGACTACCTGTAAAAGGAAGCAGCGTGTGCACCTATCAGGGAGCCTTCAAGACAGGTCCTTGCCTGGTAAGACACCGACATTGATGGAGTGGGGCAAAGCATGGTTTTCGTTGTCTTTACCCACTAAGCAGCGGCCTCAAAGGTCACAGGGCAGCCTTTCTCCCCAGAAGGCTATATAGTTTATTTTTTCCACAGGTACCCAGGCCCCAAGTGCTGAAGACTGTGCATCTTGGTCACCCATCTGTGCCTCCCATGCAGGTCAACACTGTGATTGCCGAGTATGAACTGTGGAAGCGGAGAGGTGGGCACATCTTCATCCAGCCTCTTCTACCCATCCCCAGTGTCCAGGAAAAAAATCTGACAAACCAGCAAAGTAAATAAATAATTTAGAAATAATAAATAGGGCTTCAGCGTTAGCACAGGCTCTTCCAGCAACGTGAGTACAATGTATCTTCTCAAGATTCATTCCCTAGGGTCTGGGGCCATTTCTGGATGCTCCCAGAGGAGTTCTCCTTAGCTGAGGTCTCTGGTGTCTGTAGAGCTGGGACCCATGAGCGCCTTGGAGCTGTTGGTCAGTGGTTAGGTCATCTCTCCCGGCTTGATGCCTGCCACTCACCGGCCTGGAGCCTGAGCTCTGCAGCTTCCATTTCCGGCTGAGGTTCCTGGCTGATGAGGCCGGGTGAGGTTGTTCCAGGCAGGGCAACACATGGGTAAAGGTCCAGTGTGCAAAGGCTTGGAGATCATCCTCAGCCCAGACAGCCGCAGGCAGTGGCGGAGAGGTGGTCCACGGTCCTCCAGGTGCTGTTCACGTCCATGAAGGAGACGGCCTCATAGCGAGTGGGTCGGCAGCAGGGCTGACTCATCGGCCGGGATCCGGGGGGCGACCGCAGGGCCCCGGCGCCCAGTAGGCTGGCCAGGCTGAGGTCGTGCGGGGAGCGTGCTCGGCGGCACGAGCCGCTGCAGAAGCGGAAACGAACCAGCTCGTCGGAGCTGTGGCCCAGGCCGAGCGCGCTCACCCGCACCAGCTGCGAGCGCAAGCGACAGCCGTGCGCATCCGAGGCCCGCGCGCGGCTGCTTCGGGTCCCCGCACGCGCGGCGCGTACCTCGCGGAGCGCAGCGGGAGGAGACTGGAGCGCGGGCCCTGGCGGTGGGGGTGCGGGCTGGGGAGACTGTGGCGGTGGTGGCAGGGCTCTTTCGCTGCACAAATGCGTAGTGCGTCCCCCTGGAAGGAGACTTGGTCACTTTCGGGGCGTGGGGGAAGGTCTAGGGCTAGCCTCGCCCCTGCTCCGCCCTGTCGCGCTCTCACCTACCAGGCAGGTGGCCGGTTGGGGGCGCCAGGACCGGCGAGGGACCATCACGAGTGGAGGGGTTGCGGGACATGGGGTCCAGGGAGGCTTCTGTGACGCTGCTCAACAGGGCAAGAGCAGCTAGGGTTGGCCACAAAGCTGGCTGCGCAGAGAAAAGAGGAGGCTCAGGGAGCAATAGGGCACTCTGGGGGACTGTCTTGTCTGTAGCCCAGAGCAGAGACCGCTCCAGTCGGGTTCCTAGCTGGGTGGCTGAGTGTAAGGAAGGACTTAGGTTTAATAGGCATTTGTTGCTTCCTGAGGACACTGATCATCCAGAGAAATCCTATTCCTTTCCACCTATGACTGGCTCCTCCCTCTTTTAATATTCATTCATTCATTCATTCATTCATTCATTCATTCATTTATTTATTTATTTATTTATTTATTTATTTATTTATTTATTTATTGAGACAGGGTTTCTCTGTTTCTCTGTGTAGCTTTGGAGCCTGTCCTGGATCTCGCTCTGTAGAACAGGCTGGCCTCGACCTCACGGAGATACGCCTGGCTCTGCCTCCTGAGTGCTGGGATTTAAGGCATGAGCCACCACTGCCTGGCGCACCTCCCTCTTGATAGTTCCTCTTTCATATCTGACCCCTGCCTAGGCTGTGTTCCACGCTCTTTTTCCCAATTAAAGTCAGCAGGGAAATGCAAGGGAGTGACTCACCTGCCACCTAGGCCGGAGGCAGTGGGGCAATGCAGTAGGGTCTCCAAGTCCCGGTTCCATCTCTGTCAACACCAGGAGCTCCCATCAGCCTTCGAGGGCCTGCTTCCCCACCCTCTCTTTCAGGCAGCTGCAAAGTGAAAGCGGGCTTAGTTATCTTTGGGGTATTCGTTCTTCCACTTCAGTTTCTCAAAGCTACCTTGGAGCGTAGGTAACTAGAGTCAGCCCAGAGGCAGTAGCTGCATGGAGAAGCTACTCCATGATTGCTGCTTCGCAGTATTTCCTCCTTCCCAGTTCCACAAGGTCCACGGCTCACTTTTCCAGATTGGCAAACGAGGCTTGGCTGAGCTCAAGGACTGTCTACGGTCACAGGGGGAGACTCACACAGCTGTGGTCCTGTCTTCTAGGACCCTTCTGTTCTGTACTTCAGGGCTGAAGGTACCAGAGTGGCTGGAGGAAGAAGTAACTGGACACCCTTAGTTGCATACTGAGTATTTGCTCCAAACCCCGGGGGGAGGAAGCAGAGCCCTGGAGAATTAGAGTGCCAGTTGGTCACTCGGAGTTGTCTGGTGACTGGGAGCCTAGGCCTCCTGCAATCTCTGTTCTGGGGCCAGAGTCACCGGAGTTCTCTCTTAGGGACACAGATGACCCCAAGAGCCGGCCTATTATCTCGGGGAGTGATGTGCCTTCTGCAAACACAATGCCTGGACCACGGTTTCCCGTGGCCACCAGGGGGCAGAGTTTGCCAAGCCTGCGGACTTAAGAGGAGGGGGTGCTTTTCCACATCCTCTGCACGTTCAGTTCTGAGCCCTTCCCAGGAGGCCCAGCCAGTCCTCCACATCAGCCTGGTCTCAGAGGGCTGAACCACTCTGAGAGCTGGCCATCTGGGCCATCAGCCTTCTGTGGCTCTGGCACTCTAGCCTTGCTCCTACAAGTTTCCCCCGTGAACCATCATCCTTCCAGACCCCAGCCGGCTTTACTGAGCACCACGTCTTTGTGAGCCACCCCTCTGGGGCCCTCAGAACCTTTAAGAGTCCTCATTAGCTAAACTCCTCTTGGGTCGCAGATGTTATCCTCCATCCTTCTGCTAGCACACAGAATACATGGGGACATCGACAAGGACACATACCTTCCAGGCCTTTACCCAGGAAGGGGTCCTCCAGGGCTAGTTGTGTACCTGTTGGCTAATTAGATTCAGATCCCTAGAGACCAGGCTAGTAACTATTCTCCCCGATGGAGGGCAAGTCAGACAAGGCAGCCTTAGGGGTATCTGCGCTAGGGGGAGCCCAGGAGCAAGTCCCTCGAGGGCAGCTCAGACCAGTCTACTTCCTTGCCATCTGGGATATTTGGCCCTCCAGCCCTTGCCACCCCTGTCCACCGGCTCTATACTCACCAAGGGGGTCCTGCACCGAGTCCTTCTAGGCACCTTTCCTGGGACCAGTGCTGGGCTTTCCCTCGAAGCTCAAATGGATCATGCCCAGAGTTGTGCACCTGGCAACGTCTCTTTTAGCCAAAAGTGGGGCCTTGGCAGCCGGTCTGTGCCCTGTGGCGGCAGCGGGAGCCTCATATTACAGCTAGCCAGGAGAGCTAACACAGTCCAACACGCTAGCGACAAAAGGGACTGGAGGGACTGAGAGGGACAGAGAGCTGCGCTGAGGGCCCAGCAGAGAGAAGCTGAGAGAAACGGGGGAGGAAGAAGACCTTTCTGGCCCTTCTCCTGCCCTTAGGAGCGTCCGTCAGGGGATGGGCAAGAAGGCTGGCTTACCTCGGGTGCAGGGCTCCAAGCCCCAGTCGCAACGAAGGCTGGGGCCCGAGGGACTTGTTGCTGGCAGAGCCCGCGGGCCGCATCTGGGGGCCGAGCCCAACTCCATCCCTCAGCAGCCTCCTGCCCGCCGCCGTCCGGTGTCAAATTCCAGGCCCGGCGTCACCAGATCCCGGGGTGGGGCCCAGAGCGCCCCCGCCCCGCCCCACCTTTCAGGGCTCACCTGGCCGCTCCACCCTTCAGATCCGGTCCCCACTGGCTCGGCTAGATCCCCTTAGGTGGGGGCTAGACATTGGGAGAAGACCCCAGGAGGCAGAGTAGAGATTCGCAGGCGGCAGCGAGGCGCTGAAACTGGGAATTCGAAGTTGGTAGACACGCAAAAGTAGGGAACCGGGAGGCCTGGCCGAGGGCGGAGAGAGCGAGGGAGGGCGGCGAAGGAGGGGCAGCCTGGAGAAGAGTTCCAGCTTGGGTCGTGCAGATATAGGGGTGCTGGCTAGCTGGTGGCTCCGGGACCCCCCCAGAAGGCTCAGCTGCCTCGAAGCGGCAGGGCTCTGCATTGGGCTCCCACGGTCCAAGGATAGTCTGTTTCACTGCTCAGTTTCAGGGTCTCGGAGCTCAAAGGAACTCATGCACACTGTCTTAATGAAGGCAATGATAGTGTGTGTGTGTGTGTGTGTGTGTGTGTGTGTGTGTGTGTGTGTGTGTGTGGAGGGGGAGCAGGGGGGCAGAATCGGAGGGCCACGGAGTTGAACTGGGTTTTGAGGTGCGATAAGGTAATTTGACAGGTGTCTGGGGGGGTGGTTGAGGGCTATGACTGGAAAGGTCTAATTAGTCTGCCGCTCATCGCAAAGATGCTGAGGTAAAATGCGTGTCTGACCACACTGCCCTGGTCTGAGTGTGGTCAGACACGCATTTCATTGAAGGACTGCCCCGAGGAGAGTGTGGTTTCGAGACAGGCAAGACAGAAAAGGGGGTGCAGGCTGCTGGGGACAAAAAGATAAATCCTGAGCAGGGTTGTGGGGACCTAGGGGCTGCAGGGACCCAGTCTCCATCACCTCCTTTTGCCTGCTTGATTGGACAAGGTGAGGTGGTAAAGCGGACAAAGGCGTGCGGCAGAAGGATGGATTCTAGGAGCTGACACTCCCTGGGGGACGTTCAGGTGTGTGTGTGTGGGGGGGGGCGAGTGCATGAATTCAGTGTTGGGCATGTTGAATTAGAAAGAAGGGTCTGTGGACTCTCCTGCTGGAATCGCCCTGGAGGCAGCTGAATTTATAGCCAGGAGCAAAGTGAAGGCGGCTGGGCTAGTGATGGTAATTTGGTATTTGCTGACCAATACACATGTAACTAGATGCTGGGAGTGAGGAAGAATCCCCGGTGGGGATGTGTATGGTCTAGATGTACCCTGGCTATGTATCAGCACCTCTGCGGACCTTTAAGAACTACCCACATCTGGGCCCCATCCCAGATCTGAATCAGAATTCTGGTGTGGGCAGGTGCAAATTTCCATGTTTCCTTTACCTGTGATTCTGGTACACAGCCAGGATCCATAACCACGGGTTTTGAGAGGGCAGTTTTGTGCAGTGTTTGAGGCTGAAGTCCGACTGCAGAGACAGCGCTGCTGCTGCCTGTGAGGACTGTCCCCAGGCTCCACAGGACTGCATGGGATGGATGTGCGCAGACCAGCTTGCTCGCTTTTCTCATGTAACTGGCTGCTGAACTGAAGCAGTCTTTTCAGCCAGGGATTCTACTGGCAGGCATGTAGTTTAGGCTACCTGTGGGAGCACTGCGGGCCTTGGGATGGCCAGGTCTCTGTAGTTAGGCCTACAGGCGGGAGGGCCAAGGCATGTCTCGGCCCTGGGATTGGTTGAGGTAGGAGAGGTAAGCTGTCCCACTTACAGCCATGGTAGCCAGTGTCTGGCAGAAATCTACCTCCATGATTGCAGGTCAGGGTGTACCAATGAACAGTCTCAGAACTGCCTGAAGTTGCTTCAAGGGAGGTCAGAATCCAGAGTTCTAAGGGAGTAAAATAGGGTATGGATGTCCTTTCTAAAGTTCCCAGAGGTGCCTAGGGCTGGGCTGGGGGCTTTCCTGTTTTCTGTTGAGAAGGGTAGAGTGCTAATGGGCCATATCCATTTCAAAGTGGAGCCATGGGTGACAGGAATGGAGGTATGTGGGTTTCTCTGGGCCCCATGGGCCTCTTCTGCTAGTCTTATTTATTTTGTGTTTGTGTGTTTGAGTATATGCATACCACAGGAGCCTTGAAGGTCAGAAGAGGGCATCAGATCCCCTGGAACTGGAGTTACAGGTGATTGTGGGTGCTGGGAATTGAACCTGGGTCCTCTGCAAGAGCAGTAAGCACTCTTAACCACTGAGCGGGATGCCTCAAAGGTCCTGTACTTGAATGGAAAGTGAAAGGGACCCAGGAGTCTGTGGGCTAGAGAGAAGACCCTTGAGTTCAGTGCAGTTGTTAAGGCCCCATGTTTCTGTTTCTTCCAGAAAAGTTAGAGAACACAGGAGACCAGATTCAGGGGATAGCTTTATTGCTTCCATGAGGGCTGCCTGGGACGGCTGTCTCAGCCTGGGTAAGGTTCTTGATCCTCACTTCCCTCTGGTCCTGGGTAAGACCCATGGAGCTGGCAATCTCAGCAAGAAACCCAGACCACCTGACAGCTGGTCAGTCCAGGAAGGAGCATTGCTCCCACAGATCGGGGACAGCTATGGAGAGGAGCCATTCCCCTCAGACTGGGCCTTGCCTCCTGAGTTCTCTCTGCTCTCGTCCAAGAGCAGTCCTGTTGGCTTTAAAGGGATGGCTCTGGGGTTCCCCTGGGGGACACTGGGGGCTGGTGAGAGGGAGTACTCCATCTTCTCCCCACGGAAGGCCAAAATGTGTCATGAGCTGGAGATGGCTGACATGAGATGCTACCCACCTCCCTGTGGCCCTGAAGCATGGTCTGACACTTCCATCCTTCAGGGAGCTCACTGGTACCACTGCCGATGGGCCCTCTAGTGGACCTCTTTCTGCACAGCAAGTGGACCAAATGTGACATCTTATTTAAAAATAAATTATCCCTCCCCTCCCCACACCCCAATTCACAAAATGATAATACACCAAACACTGCTTAGAGAAATGATTCTGGCAGCACTCTTGCTACCAAATGTCCCACCTCCTGCATGCTGGGCCTGCTGGCCACAGCCAGTGGCCTCCTGGCCCTCTGGCTTCATCGACCCAGGCTGCAAGGCAGAGAGAGTGCTGGTCTCTGAAGCTGGCCTGGAGCAGGCACAGCTCTGGTTGCCTTGCCAAGGCCTCACTGGCCCTCGGTCCCTTGGCACTGTCCTTCTCTGGGTCGGAAGACACCTGTGCAGGTGGCAGCTGCTTGTTCCTGGCGTGAGCCTCGATGGCCCGGTGTTGGGCCTACTCAGATGCCACTGCTTAGGTCAGTGATGACACGGGCTTTCACCAGCTTCCGTAGAAACTCTTTTTCTCGCTGGATGTTGTGTGTCCAGGACTAGAAAGGGAGAGACGGAGAAGTTATGAAGTGGGCAATCTATGAAGAGGGCTCCTGGGCCACAGCCTGCCTTAAAACTGGGCCGCTGCCCTCTTCCAGTCATCGCCCTCGGAAACGCTGTGACTGGGAATGTACAGGCACACATTGGTCCAGTGTCTCCCTACAAGACCACAATACCCTGGTAATGAAAGCCACAACTCTTCCCTCAACAAGCAAGCCTGGCACCCCATCACCACGCCAGAGGAACTCTGCCCCTGGCTTCTTCCAAGTCTTGAGTAATCTCAGAGCTTCCCAGTCCTCAGTGCTCAGAATCTCCTTCCTTCAGACAGCAGCCCACAGCTCCTTGGCAGCAGCCCTCAGGTTCTAGACACCCTGAGGGCAAGGAGGTGAGTCACCGGACCGCACAGCAAGGGGCATGGGCTACTTCTCTGATGCAATCCATTCTCCAGGCCTTAGGCAGCTCATGAAAGCCTTCCTCCCTTGCACAAGAACCAGGGAGCCTGAGGAGCACAGCTCATCTTTCTTTTAAAAGTGTTATCTTTGTCTAAACTAAACATTAAAATTTTATTTATTTATGATGGGTGGCGGCGGCGGCACACATCTTTAAGCACTTGGGAGGCAGAGGCAGGCGGATCTTTTGAGTTCGAGGCCAGCCTGGTCTACAGAGCAAGTTCCAGGATAGCCAGAGCTACAGAGAAACCTTGTCTTGGAAAAAAAAAGTTTGTTTTTAATGTATTACTACTCTGTGTGTGCATGTATATATGGTGTGTGCATCTCTGCGTGTGGGCCTGAGCACACTGAAGTGTGGAAGTGGAAGTCAGATGATGACTCTTGGCAGTGGATCTCCTTCTGTGAGTTCCAGGGAATGGATTCAGGTCATCAGGTTTGTATGGCTAGTGGTTTTACCCACTGAGCCATCCTACCTGCCCTGTGGTTTCGAGCCTGAGTCTCACTTAGCAGCTTGGGCTGGCCTGAAATGAATGTACGTGTGTACGTATGTACGTAGCCTAGGCTGGTCTCCAACTCATGATCTTTGTACCCCAGCTTCCCACATGCTGGATTACAGGTGCGAACCACTATACCCACCTGCTCTATTGTTGGAAGCAGTATCTCACTATGTAGCTCACATTGGCTTTGAACCCCTTATCTTTCTGACTCCATCTCCCAAGACCATTCTTCCAGGCTGGCACCCAATGGCTAACAGCACTTCCCCACCATACTTGATTTCTCTCTGTCTTAACAAATAAAACAAAGGGTGCTATATACTTAAACTCGAATTCTTAGTAAGTCAGAGAAGAAGCCACCATCCAGGGCTTATGGGATTAGATTCCTTCTGATTCTCAGAAATCTCCCCAGGAAGCGTCAATGACTAAAGCCTCTCAAACAAAGAAAAGGTTTGACTGAATGAAGGGATGAGTGTCATCAGCCTCACGGCTTATCTCCAGCTGGCCTCTGCTGTGTGTCAGCATGGGCCACTCCATGTCTGTACTCACAGTCACTACCACTGGGACGAAGGATGAGGGGCTGTCCAGCCCTTGTTTTGATTCCTACAACCCTCTCCAACCTTCCAAATCTCTGTAATCTAAAACTCAGAGTCATTAACCAGAGTCCCTGTGGCCCACTGCTCTCGAGCTACCTTGAAGCCTCTGGTGTGAACCACAAACCCACATCCCCAAGTGGTAATGGTTTCCTCCCTCACAATCCACAGCACAGGGCCTGAGGTGGGCCGGTCTCCCCCAGTCTTCCTGTTTCCACCATCTGTCCCCTCAAACTCCTAGAGAAACTCAGGCCTGGTCAGTCCACTCTACTGTTGCCTCTGCAAGCTGTTCTCCTTGTCTCAGACCCCTGGGGGACTCATGTCCATTCTTTGAAGATTCAATCATCTTTCCAGAAGTTTCTGTGGATAGGGATGGTTAGACACAGAGTAGGCACTCCATGATATTTATTTAATGAAATTAGATTGAATTTCTTTCTAATCTTGAGTGTGTGTGTGTGTGTGTGTGAGCGCGCGCGTGCACACACACACACATGCTTGTAGAGCGGAAAGGATGCTGTTACTGTCTTGGTCTACTGCTCTATCTTATTCTCTGAAGACAGGGTCTCTCACTGATCCCTGAGCTAAGCTGGTGCTCAGCAAACCCCAGGGACCTCTTGTCTGGTACTGGTGCAGCCATGCCCGACTACTACTTCTTTTTTAGAATTAAAGATGTTATTTTTATTTATTTTTTGTTTTTTCAAGACAGGGTTTCTCTGTGTAGCCCTGGCTGTCCTGGAACTAGCTCTGTAGCCCAGGCTGGCCTCGAACTCACAGAGATCCACCTGCCTCTGCCTCCCGAGTGCTGGGATTAAAGGTGTGCACTATCACCTGTCTGTCTCCACTGCCCCAGATGAGGACCCAACCCAGTGCCACTTAGCTAAATCCCCAACCCACTTGATTTTATTTTATTTTAAATGATTTATTTATTCTCATCTGTTGTGGTGGTTTGGAAAAAAAATAGCTCCCATAGTGAGTGGCACTAATAGGAGGTGTGGCCTTGTCGGGAGTAGCTGTGGCCTTGTTGGAAGAAATATGTCACTGTGGGGGTGGGCTTTGAGGTCTTCTATGTTCAAGCTAAGCATAGTGTGGCATTTACTTCACTTCCTGCTGCCTTTGGATCAAGATGTAGAACTTTCAGCTCCTTCTCCAGCACCACGTCTACCTGCATGCCACCATGTCCCACCATTACGATAATGGACTGAACCTCTGAACTGTAAGCCAGCCCCAGTGAAATGTTTTCCTTTATAAGTGTTGCAGTGGTCATTGTGTCTCTTCACAGCAACAGAAACTCTAACTAAGACGTGTGCATTGTTTTTTTTTTTTTTTGCCTGCATATATGTCTGTGTGAGGCTGTTGGATCCCCCTGGAACTGGAGTTACAGACAGTTGTGAGTTGGGTGCTAGGAACTGAACCCGGGTCCTCTGGAAGAGCAGCCAGTGCTCTTAACTTCTCAGCCATCTCTCCAGCTCCCAGACTTAAAGGTTTTAGTTTCATCATTACTTAATACAAATAGCACAATTACAAATATAAAGACTTGGAACTTGTTAGAGCCCACAGGTTTTATGAATACAAAACAGAAATTCCAAACAAATTGACTTTGACTTCTCTTAAGAATTTCTTCCTTGGCTTAGAAACTGAAAATCCTGGAATGAAGCATGGCCCTCTCCTTGGCTGCCTGTCCTGATCTTACCACCTTTCACATGTGATGGGTGTTAAGGGTGAAGCTTTGAATGAGCTGACGACTTGGAATCTGTGCTACAAATCAAAGGGAAACTTCAAACATAAGCGTTTGTCTCATAGGAGGAACTCCGTCAAAAAGGTTTTCATCCTTGTGGAACTTCCCAACTAAGGAGACCTGACGTCAGACCCAGGACAGGAAAATTACTAGAGAATAACAAGAATTAGTTTATAAGCTATGGGGAAAAAACTTGTTGCTCTCCGACTTTTATTACACTCCCTTATTTCTGGCAAAAAGATGGAGATGATCCCCCCTTTTGCCTCAAGGACAGAGGAATGCAGGGAATTCTTGGGGTGCATCTTGTGCAGTTTGCAAACAAGAACATGAAGACCCGGGAGACAGGCAGAGTGCCCTCGGAGGGGAATAACAGAGAACTGCTAGAAGCTGATCTTTCCGTGGTTGGCTAGAATTTGCATGACTCTTTTACCTTGGGAAAGAGTCAAACTGCACAGAAGAGCGAGTCTTGAGCTTTTTAAAGTTTTACCCCAGAAAAATGACGGACACTGTACCAGGCTCTAGAGACAGTAGTTAAAGGAAGGACTCTAGAAATCTAAGAGCAAGTATTTCAGCTATGAAGACATCACTGTCCTCGGAAGATCCCAGATGCGGCGGGGGTGGAGGGCAAGC